AGACATGCCCACTGAAGGTCAACCATAGCAGAATAATGACTATATCTTTCTTGCCTTAGTTATATGAATAGTCAGACTGCAGTTAATGAGTCTTTGTATAAGAATAAGGAAAGCACGATTTGGTCCCAAAAGTGCTTAGAACTTGTGGGCTCCTGATGGATGGCTACATGATGTATTGGATAATGAATTAGGCTATTATTCCTGCTTAAACCAGGACCTAATATTTGCTCCCTGAAGTTAAGAGGAATTTTGCTTTAATTTTGATGCAAGTTCCTGATCAATATGGATATATTATTAACTTGTGGTAAAAAACCCCCCAGCAACAACTCTTTTTTTTTCAATTTCTTTAAAAAATGCTGAATTATCTTGCTTTCATGATGCTTGGATAATTTGTCCAAAACTGAGGTACTTCCTCTCTCTAAGGTTTATTTTCTGTCAAATTATATGCATTTCCCATGTAAATGACTGAAGGAAAGTTTTAAATATGGCATCAGGGGACTCAATATAAAATGGATCAAGTGGTAAAAATGCTCTGCCTATAATTGCTTATCTTCAAATGAAACCCAAATCTTGATCTAAATTACTTCTCATTGTAGGGTAGTTCAGGGACACCATTAAAATGTCTTTTATGTCTGCTGTAGCCAGTAAATCATCTGTGCTCTCATTTTGCATTTCTAATATATATAATAAATATAGAGATTAATCAAATCTTTGCTGAGTTGATCTGAAGTGGTAAACAAGCCAGAATCTAAATGCATTCTCTTTTTGTGTTTTCTTAAAACCTGATGGGGGATTTAGTATTCTTTATACCCATTAGTACCATCTGGCAGAACAATAGAGATCTCTTAATTTCGGCCTCCTTCTTGTTTTAAATGTAATTATTGTTGAAATGTTAGCACAGGTTTCAAAATGAAAATGAGGAAAATGACAAAAAATAAACGACAGGCAGAAAATTAAAATTCATGAAAGAGATGTCAATCATCTCTGCCAATTAAGCAGCATCATGTAGGGTCTTTGACACACTGTGCATGTGTGTTCTATTGAAGCCTCCCCTTCCAGCTGGATAGCTCAGCCTCCTATTTGTAAATGAAAGATCATTCAACCCAAACTACTCCTTCTCCCCCCACAAATGTAAAGGAACCATAATCTCCATATACTTACTAGCTAATCTTACTAGTCTCAATAGTCATTACATTTCGTGCATAGATTTGCTTTGTCTTTTAGTTTTGCTTTAAATGGCTTGGTAAATTTCCCTTCATGTTTGGTTTCTGGAGATGAGTTTAATTCAGAGACAAGGTACACAAGAGTGGGAAGCAATCTCTTCCTTCCCTGGTACATAATTTGACAACATTTTAAGTCATTGATTTTAGGGTAAAGATAGGGTAAAGGAGTGCTAAAGGGAAAGAGAGGATATCCTGGAATTAGAACGGTCCCCAGAATATCAGCAGTGGAAAATATCTTCACTCAGAGAAATAAAATGTATATATACTCATGTGTTCATTGATTTGTTTTTATATATAGGTCAATGTCCCTGTCAGATGTGTTGTCCAGCATCCTTATGTGAGAAGTGGGCTTCTAGTTTATTGTGTATTCAACATAATGAGCCTTTAGCAATCCCCCCAAAAATGATGAATTGATCATGTCCATCTCTGTTAGGACCAGCCAGATTCTGCATCACTCAACATCTTCAAGTTGAGACGTACCTCACAAGGACAAAGGCTGCGTCCTTGTTGACAACTACTAGTGTCTGAAAAGGCTGCATTTCTACTTGCTAAAATGAATGGATATTGAGAACAAAATTAACAGCAGAGATTGGCATCATGGTTCAGAAATGCCAGTGGAGAGATCTCTAATCTCTACTGTCTGCTGCCAAGAAGGTAAGATCTAGCAAAGGACTTTTAAAGCCCAGGAAATCAAACTACAAAAAATGTCCAATTCTCAGTGGTTTGAACCTAGTAGATTTCTAGCTTAGGGATGTTTATGCAGCCATAGGTGGAAAATATGTAATAAGCCATAGCCTTATTACAGCCATAGGTGGAAAATTCAACTAAAAGCTGATTGTCTTCCTTCTGTGGTGCAGTTCACAGACTGACAGTCTTTGGTAGCAGCATGCAGGAAGGAGTTGAGAGTTTTAGGGAAGAGCTGGGGACAAGAGCCCCCTAAAGCCATTGCAAAGACACGAGGGCTACTGGAGGGTGCCCCTGTCTGCCTTGGTTTCCTAAATTCTGTACAGATATTAGGGAATCTACTAGATTCAGAAGGGAAAATCAAATTACTGCTTCTTTTGCAGACAGCAAATTGGGAAGATGGGGACAGAGTTTTCTTTCCTCCCGTTGAAGAATGTCAGGTGTTTCTTAAGGAGAACATCACAGACACTATGTACCAGAGGGTTTTTGTGCAATTGCTGAGTGGCTCTAAGAAAGGCACAATATACTAAGGCCAGCAAGACCATTGGATATTACTATTCATATAACCAGGAATAGTGACTACTGTAAAACTGTAACTAGTAAAACAAACCACATGGGAGCTTGAGAAAGAGAGACTTCCCAGAGCTACCTGGCCTATGAAACTCCAAGCAGCACACCTCAAGCTCTGTAACAGACTTTTGGAAACAGCTTTCTATCAAGTGCACATGATTTCAAACCATTACTAAAGGGACCAGAATTATTAGAAATTGGCTCTAAGATATGCAAACAGAGAAACACTCTGCTTCTTTATAGGATATTGGATGCATCCAAGGTTTCTATTTTAAAAAAGCTTCTATGCCAGAAGGATGTTTGTACCCAAAAGCTTATAAAGAACAATTTTTTCCAACTATTTAGTTGAGTTAATAAAAGAGATCACATTTACCCAAAGAACACTGGCTCCAAGGTTTCTGGGACTTTGTGTCTGTGAACTGGACTCATGGGGTGCCTGTACATGAGTGAGAAGGCTGCTCCAATGCACTGCAATTAAAGTGGGTTGGAGCAGACAATTAATTGAGTCTGCTGGAGCATGGTAATTACCACCCTCCAGCAGCTTCCTGCATCTCATATATTGGTTTCCCTGCACTTCAAAATGGCAGCAGAAGCACTTGATTTAAAGCTCATATAAAGAACTATAGCTCAAATGCCCCCGCTGCCATTTTGAAGGACGCAGATGCCAATACATGAGACGCTGCAGTGCTTTAATTAAGGCGGCTGTTGGAATCACTCTAACTAAAGTGTTGCACACCACAATCCCCACCCCTGGAGCATGTGTAAAAGTGCCCATGGGTATCTAGCCCTGCATCATGTATTGAGCACAGGCAATGTAAGTACTTCTCACAAGCTACATTTTACACATACATTTGGTTTCCCCAGATAGGTTGGAAAGTAGTGATGCTACATATTAGTATGTATAGGTGTGCTGATGTACATTTGGGCATGTTCAAGTATATTTTTTATAGTAATAGGAGCTTGGATTCCTGTCCACACAAGGGACTGTGTAACAGTATTTGCAAAGCACAATAAAATTTGACAACATTACAGAACTGTTAAGTACCTTGATAGAGGCTGGGGTTAGAAGGCATTTTCATCACCAAACTTATCTTGATGCCATGCTGAACTATGTTAAATAGCCAGGATTCAAACATGAATTTATGTCAAAAGCCTCACCTCCATTAGGGAAATTGCCTATTTCCAAAAATCAGTGCAGATGAATCAATTCTTAAGACAGGCTAGCTGTGAGAAGAAGCAGCCCTAGTTTCTTTGAGCACTTGCTCAGCCTCACCCATGACAATATGTAGTAAGAGAAGCTCAGCAATAAGCAGTTTTCTTTGTGTGGAAGGATCTGTGCTAACCAGAAGGAGGATGTGAGCCAGGGGACAGAGGCTTTGCTGACTCTTGTCCTTGACAGGCTGGGGGTGGTGGCACTGACTCAGTTCTCAGAAAGACCAGACAAGCTGTAGCTTAGGGTAGAGTGCTGCCCTGGAAGAGGTGGGGAGTAAGTGGGGTGCCACAAAGCCCCATGGGATGCTGACAGAATGCAACCTAATGCAAGTCATAATGGCATCTTGTACAGATGTTCAATCCAGCACTGTAACCTACCATACCACATCCATCTAGGGTTATCTTAGAGTGGGATCTACCATTTTTACAATGCTCTATGTGCCCTGACCTTCCGGCACATGGTTATGGCTGTAGAGCACTTTCTGTGTGTTTATCATGCACTAAGGGTAATGTGTGTACCTGGCCTTAAAGACAAAGCTCTCCAGAACACCACAGGTAGTGTTCAATTTAGTGTTTCCTCTGTGCTGGAAACAAAAATAATCTGATTTTATTAGGAGGAGACTAATAAAATTTTGTTCTCTGGGATAGATGAAACACCCGAATCTAAACTTTTTCCCATTGTTATTTATTTCAGACAATTCTGTTTTTTTTCACAGGGAAATGATGGACTGCAGACTGTTTGGAACTGGAAAATATATAACATCAGTAGAAAAAGTCCTTTACTCTTCCTGAAATGCAAGGTGTCTCAGACATTGAGGATAATATGCTGCTATTAGGTTGTTAGATTAAAGTCAATGTGCTAGGTGTTCAGATTCAGGTAATATAAGACACAACAGCTCCTGTAACTGGAAAGATATAATGTGCTAACAAGAGCAAGACTCAACACTTTGCTACTAGGTATTAGACAGAGCATAGGGAAAATATTTGAAAATTATTTGTAAAGGGCTTTGAAAATATATAAATCATACCTACCATACAGCACCTTACCTTCAGCGTTAGCTGCCTACAGGCATATGAATGGGATGATAAAAGTCTCCAGTAATTACTTGTTTGACTCTGATTTACTAGCCCCATTTATACAAATAGGGAGAAATTCAGTGTAGCAGTAACCAGTAATCAATGTTTCTGTTACTTTAAATTAGACATTTTATTGGTGAAGACATCAGTATTGTTATACAGCACAGTTACTCCTCTTACCTAGTACAGAAACTATGCTGTAGTAAAAAGCTTTTCTCAAAGAGCACAAACTACAGCTCTAACTTATACTTTGTGCATTTCCACTGAGTCAGGAGAGAATCCAGAGATTGTGATGCTACTCCAGCTATTATTCCCAAAGGTTCACAAGACAGAAATGAGAGCAAAGAGTGAGACTTAGAGTTACAGTGAAGATGCAGGTAGCTGTGCATGGATCTGTCAACAGAATACAAATTTCCAGGTCTTTTCTTACTGGTTCTTCTGGACTAGATCCTTTAAAATTCCAGAATGCATTGAAAATAGAGGGTATGTGTTTTACATCACTAGATGGCAATTAAATATATGATGATGATTTACTTACCTTCTACATTGTTATTTATCAGGAAAATATTCAAGCTTTTTGCTGGACATGTTCAATGCAAGTTTCAAATCCAGTTTAAAGCTGCTTCATGTGGATACCACAATACCAAAACCGAGGACCAGCAAGACTGCTGCAAAGTGGGGCACAGCACATTCCATTGACGAAGAGGACAAAAGAAAATCAATACATTCTCTTTTGATTACCATTGCGGCTGGACCAGGTTCTCAGTAACTCATCCCACTGCAAGATCTGGTCTAATTA